CGTTATGCTTCAATCAATGATTTACCAATTGAAGAAGGAGAACGTAAATTTTTTTGGCCACTTGGACGACGACCTGATGAACATGCTGGATTAACAGATTTAAATCTATAAACTTAATTTTATTTTTTATATATTTATGATGTCGATGTCTTTTTTAAATAGATTTAGTATGATGATCTGAAAGATAATCTTTTCCGAACTTTAAGAAATTAATATATGGTCAATATATTCTGGTTTCAGAAGTACATTTTGATTCACATATGTAAAAAATTGGAATCGGAAACAGTATACTATATTTATATGACGAATATATTGATAAACAACAATAGAAGATATCATTAACTCTATTAAATGCAAGATATATTCAAATATATGGTCTATATAAGTTAGTATATAATTTATAAATGTTTGTTGATCGACTGTTAAGTATAGAATGCAACGTAATATTAGAATAAGGTATTCGCTATACTTTATAATAATAAAATACAATACGTAATTTGCATTGATAAATTTTTAAACGATTTAGTTATAATCAGAGATGTTTGATCTTTACTCGACATCATATCTCATTAATTTTCTATCTGCATGTCAAATTAACACGTTCATTAAGCTCGAATAAATTTTGTTCCACAACGTCTTTTTGAAACCTAAACTGCATTTACATAATAATTCTAAATATTATGAACTATGCAGTATCTAAAAAGAATCATTTATGAAGATAAAATTCATCCATACTTATACGTAATACTTTCAGATCTATCATATATTATATTATGTGTAAAGCATCAAGAGCTTTCCTTTCAATATGTATAATAAATTTTATTATTGTGTACGGTGATTTCTAGATTTCATGATAATCAAAAAGAATAAAGACAATGAAGAACGATGAAAGCGCATCATAATTATGTCCAACTACTCGGGTACTTCTTCTGTAATCTCTTATGCTATTATAATTTACTTTTCATATACTCCAAGTACTCGCATTACGTTTATAATAGCTTAGCAAGGTAGTTATATATAGTTTATAAATTAAAATAGTTTGAAAGAGAATCGATAATCAGTTTAAAATTTTTTTTCCATTTCACAATAACGTAGGTGTCAATTCTGTAAATTAAATATCTTTAAAAGATTATCATAATGTTCCCAATAGAAATATTATGAGTGAAATTTATTAGAAAGAAAAAATGTAATAAATTTTTTTTACTTTCTTAATTATATTTTTACTGAACTCCTTACCCTTCTAATATCATCAATGTACTTTAAAGTTGTGACGTATATGTAAGATAAATGATTTTGATAAAAAAAAAGATTAACGGTATGAACGTATCATACTTTTTTATTAATTATGCCAAGGGGAGATGAGTGAATTTCAGGAATTACGTCAATCTGTTGAAATTCACGTTATCATTTGTTATTAGAATAGGTATAAGAATACACCTCCGTGAATATCAATAGATTAGTGAATTTTTATGAATTTCAGTAGTACCATCGAATGAATGCACTCTGAAACTATGCGTCTTTGTAATAATAAATCTTTTAGTTCACTACAGTTACGTTCTAAAGAGTCTTATGATTAAACTTTGAATATGATACGTAATAATAACTATGGAGGCGGTTTTTTATAGACAGCGAATATAATTACATTATAATGCAACCTGTATTATGAGTTTGCGCTCATTATTATTTATATGATGTATTAATTGATTAATTTATTATCTTGTTATGATATCCGTTAAAATGTATGATAATGTTCATTATTTTATTTATTCAGATACATGGGTATCATGCTACGTGAAATTATAAGAAAAGTTTGTATGTTAAACATCATTCTAGACTTCAAATTAATCTATTATACAAATAACAAAATATAATTTTATTCTATAGATATTGAATATCATGCTTACTTATAATTATATATATATATATATTAAACAACGCATAAAAAGATAGAAGGCATTTATATTCCTTTCTTCTCGTTAAGTCATTTTAATATCAAATATAAAGCCAGCGAGTGAAATATAAAAGAATATTAAAAAATAAACATTCTATCTGGGGAAAGATATCAATTGTTAATATGTCATCTTCATCAGTATCCACAGATATCTTACAAATTGTTAAACAATATACACTTTGGAGTGGTTGTATTATATCAATTTTTGGAATTATTGGTAATACTTTGAATATTCTTATTTTTACTCAATTAAAACTCTTTCGATTCAATCGATCTGCTTTCTATATAACTGTTGAATCGATTTCAAATTTTTTTTATCAATTTATTGCAATTAGTTTAATCATTTTAACAGCAATATATGGAGATGATGTTACATCACGTTCTCTTGCTTGGTGTAGACTTAGATTTATACTAAGTTTAACAATTGTAATTACTACATATTACATGACATGTTGTGCTGCAATTGATCAATTCTTTTCAACAAATTATCATGTAAATCTATTACAAATATGTACATTAAAAGTAGCTCGATATGTTACTATTACATTAGTTAGTTTTGGAATAATTCATAGTATTATTTTTGGTTTCTTAGCTTATAATATACCATTAATTGGATGTGTTATATCAAATCCTATATTTCTTCAATATGCGACATTTTTCTTCTATCCAGTTTTAGCTGGTCTACTACCTATTGTAATCGCAGCAATTTTTAGTTTATTAGCTTATCGTAATGTTCGTCGGATAATTCGTCGACAACTGCCTATTCTTCGTCGTCGATTAGATCGACAAATGACAGCAATGGTTCTTTCACGTGTCATAATTTTTGTTTGCTTAGCATTACCTTATAGTATTTATCGTATTTATGCTATCAATTCTCCTGCTTCACGAAGTCAACCATTAGAATTTGCAATTGCACAATTACTTCAAGCAATTTTCTTTTCTCTTGTCACTCTAAATTATACGGTAAAATTAGTTTTTTTTTCGAACTTATATTTCTTACATCATAATTTATAATAGGTCAGTTTTTATGTTTTTATGATTTCATCACCACGTTTTCGTCGTCAAGTCAAATATGTTTTAGTCAAAAAATGTTGGAACTTATGTAAATTTTGGTGTTGCTTGAGAAATAATCAAACTCATCCAGAAAATATAGAACAAATCAATTCACACATGGTACTCGAAGAAGTATAATCACTTATAATTTAAACTTCTTAATTTATTGTTCACAACCAAGTATATTTTAAATAGAATTTTTAGTATAGTAAATATATATTTGAAGAGCAATAATATGACATGTTCTGTATCATTACGTTATTAATATAAATTTTTTTAATTTCTACCTAAACATATATTTATAAAAAAAAAGATAAAATTCATATAATTTCTTTCAAAAATCTTTTAAGGTATGATAACCTTTAAAACAAGCAAAACCTATATTATAAATACCAAACTAATAACATATATCGGTACTCTTTAAATGGAATATGACATGCAGAAAACTGTATCGGTTTATTTCCGATAGTCTAACGATCGTCATAGAAATTGTATTCATATTTCAAGAATTCTTTCTGATTATATACCTACGAAGTAAATATATAATTTAAAAAAATTACCCTTCATTAATGTATTATATCACAAATTAAATTATGCGAAATAATTAAGAAATATTTTTCACATTAATTTAAAAAAATAAAGAGTTCTATCAGATATTTAAATTAAAATCTTCTGTTGGGTCAATCATCGCATGATTAACTTCAAAAATATTTAACGAAAACAAGTTATGAATATTAATACGTAACTTTCGCTTTTGCTCTTATTTATTTTCATGGTTGAATAACTCACATATGTATAGTCACTCTCATATATTTTTTAATATGCACTTTTTATTTGTTTTTTCGATAATAATATAAAAAAGTAAATGACTGTAAGGTTTAATCGATTATATCAGTATGTCGTTCGTCACATGGGAGCAACTTGAAAAAACACGTACATGGATTCGAGCTTTTTATGAAGCATGTGATTCATTTAATATTCAACATTGGATTAATGAATTTTTCGAATCAGATGCAATCGTACAGGTTGCTAATTCACCAATCATTACTGGACATCAAGATATTATTAATTATTTTGAACAACAATATTCTCATCTCTCATATATGAAACATACTATTAAACGTATGGATGTTCTATCTGAACGAATTTATGTACATGTTGAAACTATATTTATTATTGAAAATGATCCTGAACAAAGACCAATAATTCTAAAAGGTCTTGTTATTATTGGAAAAAAAATTGATGATACAAAATTAACTTTTCTTAATAGTTATGTAGGTCCTGCTCCATTTTTAAATAGAATTCAAATGTATATGTAATTTCTATTTTTAAAAATATATTATTTATTCTTGTTTTTTTCTTATTTATATATATATATATTAACTATAAAGTACAATAAAATCTTTAATCGTAAATATTCAATATTCGAAAAAAATAAATATAAGACTTTTCAAGATATTCAATAGTAGGATAAATTAAAAATATTTTATTATACCACAAGATATCTATTTATTCACCCGATATGAATGTTGAATGTATCTCAAATATTCTTATTTCGTGTTTGCTACCAAAAATAAAGATATTAATAAGATACCTATAAAAAAAAAGGTCGAGAAAGATTGTAAATATTTTATGAAACCAATAAAGAATAACATTTTGATTCTATTTTCATTTCTTATATAAATACAAAAAAATATCAATGTATAAAATATGATTATTTCTTATTATAAATCCATGATACGATAAAGTTTCGATAATAATTTATGATTTATATTTATACTTTATTCAGCCTTCAGGTCTAAAAAATGTATCAATATTGATATTAGCATTACGAAAGAGTAATTATTAATTTTATTAGAACAAGTACTTGTTATTTAATTATATAAAGAAAAAAAATTGTTATCTTGTTTAATACCTTATCTTAAATAAATTTTATCATTTCTTAATAGTATGTATAAAGATGACTGGAACAATGATATTATATTACTAATAAAAGTTTATCTTTTATTATTTCGCATGTCAATAGAATTTCGATTAACTGGGTTTTTTCCAATAAAAATATTTATTCCATTATTCATTATAAGTATATAAATAGTAGTTATACTGAAAAAATAAATCATTCTCGTAGCATTTACAAAGAAACTCAAGTGAAATATAAAACGTGTGTTTTTATTGACGTTTAACCGTCTGAAAGAAAAGATGAAATATATAATAAGAAAGAGACATTCATTTACTCTGACTAAGAAATTTAAAATTATTAGTGAATCTAATAAACAAGTTGCAAAAGTTAAAGCAGTACCTTCCGATGAACATGCAGATCAATTCAGGTAAAAAAAAATTTTTTGTTTTTCTTCTATATGTTTTTGTTTTGTTTATAATAGAATTACATTCTCACAAATAGCAGAGAAATATGTAGGAAGTGATTCATGTATTGTTGAACCAGATAGAAAAAATCACTATTCTATTTATCCAAGATATCCTCAAGCAAATAAACCTACTCCTTACTTTGAATTATCTTATCAAAATATTAATAATGAATATCATTATAGACTTACTATTAACAATAGATTATATCAACTGGAAAGTGGTGATTTAAATCATCGTCATTTAACTATTATTGATAATATCCACTCAAATACAGATGGACAAAATCAACTTAATCGTCCAGAAACATTTTGTCAAGTGAATGATTACTTTTCAAAATTAAATAAAATATATCATGTCAATATTGAGGTCGAACAATGGCCATTAGGTTATCTTGCCGTAATTATTTTACTTCATCTTCATGAATCACAACGAAATGTGGATTAAAAATATATTATTTTAATTGTAAAAAAAATTCATTCTGGAAATAAATGTTGAATGTTTGAAACTATTTAGAAAAAAAATTCGTCATATGTTTATATTTCAAGATGATTTAGCTTCAATCGAGAAATATTGATAGAGTTTCTATCGCGAAGTTTATTTTTCTTTCCTAAGAATTCTTTAGTAAAACTAGTATTAATTAATTCAGCTTATTTTCGTTTACATTTGGAAGTGTTATGATTAAAACTACAATGTGAATGTCCTTTTATTTCTCTTATGTGTAAAAAGATACGACTTTTTTTCTAACGTCACTTCATAGTATTCGATTTTGTTTTATTCTTATCAAGTATGACAACGAGTAACAAATAAACGTTTTTCTTTTTTTCTTCTTATAAACGGTGTGTAAGTAAAACATGCATGATTATATCAAATATTTATTTAGAATAAAATGACACACAATATTTGATTAGCTCTGTAAGTTTAACTAATTTCTTGAAGGATTTATATTCTAATAAACTCTAAGAAAAAAGAAAGTTGAATATATATACGATGTTTTTAAATTTGAAAAATGAACAATACATTGCTTTAGATTTATATGTTAAATAGGAGACTTTTATTATTATTTATTTGAACGCCGGAATATTATTCAATTAGCTAAAAGCTTGTTTTTTATTTTATTCTGATGAGAATAAATTCATGTTCGATGAATTAGTTCTATCGTTGATAATAAAAAACTAATCATGTTGGTTTCTTACCATCTAACTGTTCTTTTTCTTTCACATTATAAATATAAAATAAAAGAGAACCTATGAAAAACAATACTCTTCAGATATCTGCATTTATATGTGAACCCATTTGTTAATTGATTCTACTGAAAACTTAAGTAATACAGAATGTATGCATGTTGGAAGAAACATGTGCGATGTATTTAAAGACAGGTTGATAAACATACGATGTTTTATGATTCTCTTCCTTCCTTCAAAAAAATAAGTAAATAACAGACAACTTTCTTTCCCCGAAAAACAAACGGTCTTGTTAAATATACAGTCAACGGAAGCATATCAAAAATCGTTATAAGCGATAGACTGAAATTAAATACAAAGGAAGTAGACATATTTTTGTTAGAAAATAGTTCTCTAAACGTAATACGATGAAATGAAACTATGCAACATTTTCTATGCATTACTTTAATTAAAAACAGACAACACAGCTTGTCGATATAATTTCCTTGCCACTAAAAGGATAAAGCTCACATACATTATTAGATTTCACTAGCACATATTAAGCTATTCTCTACTGTTGGTGAATTCCAATAACATCCAAATTCATTACACCAAATATAAATTACATTCTTTTCTTCTGTTTTAAGTCAACTTCATTTATACTTCATAGGACAATTAATTTGTCAGTTGATATTGACAATGTACTTCTACAATTACTTTCTTTTGTCAAAAAAAGTATCATTATGTCATACTCAATGGCATCAACCTGTAAAAATTAAATATATCATTTTAAGATATTATAGGTTTATGAAATTAAAAGCTATATATGGAAATAATATTTTTCTTGTTCCAACATTGGATATTGAACTTGTCTGGCAAGTACACTTATCACCACGTCCTGAAATATATCGAAATAACTGATTGCGTTTGTTTCGACTAGTTTTTGAGCATTTCTTGTTAATAAATGATATGGAACAATTTCTAAAAAAACAAGCATTCATTCATACTTGTCAGTTGTATAGAGAGCATTTAAATGAACAATATTGTTCATTACTAATAATTCCAAAGTATAGAGGAATAACTTTCAATTTGAGAAATTCACGTAATATTCCCATGTATTCATATTGGGATGAAACATATTTCAAATTCGACTCAAATATTCTAAATAATTATGAAAATCCATTGTCATCTAATTTAAACAATAATACTAAACATGATTCAGCAGCAATGTTATTATGCTATGAAAAAAGTCTTATGAACGATTTCTAAATGCAGTAGCTAAATATCCACCTGTCGAAGGACATGATTTCATGCCTTTAACATATGCTTTAAGGTCTTAATTATGAACGATTTGTAAATCATTGTTTTTTGTTTCTATAGATCGACTGTATTTGGCGCTCTCATATGCAAAAACCACTGAAATATATACTAGACTGTCATCGACTAGTTAAATATGTTATCAATCATATTCCACACCGATCAAACAATATAATTGAAGTAATGGAATCTAATGCAACAATTAATGATATTTGGAAAGAAGAGTTTAATAACGATATTACTACTGATCATCTCTTTCGAACTCATGAGTAAATATCATTTGATTTAAATGATATGAATTATTAGATATATTTGTTTTCTTAACTAATGTATCGAAGAATATATTTATCAAGAACGGAAGTGTTTGAATTAATTTCATTATCAGGAAACAGATTTTAGTTTTTCGATTTGATAAAGAAAAGATTATTAAATGAAAGTTTGTTAGCATCATTAAAAATGAATTCAAGCAATAAATGAAAATTAGATGTTCTGTTATATCTAACTAATCTAAAATATTGAACGAATTACTATAAAGGGTGT